TCTCTTCTCTCTCTCTCTCTCTCTCTCTCTCTCTCTCTCTCTCTCCCCCTCTCGATCGGTTCAACGGGAGACCGATGAAATATCTCGTAATTCAGGGAAACTTTCTCGCCCACGTAAGTGTAAAGAGAATGGGAACCGGCTGAACCGGAGGATGATTTATGGGGGAATAAAATAAGAAGGAAAGAGAAGCGGAAGGAGAAGCAGCGTGCGGTCGAAATGAATCGAATTATGAATTTTAAACGCGTGTTAAACGTCCTCGCGATGGAGGAGAGAGAGAAAACAACACCGTTATTCACCGTCGAATTTATTTAACCGACGCGGTTAAGAAGCGACAGACTAGAATTTTCGAATTCCAACCAAGTTCCACCGTTCGACGTTGCATCGACGTTGCAAGCGTGCTTCGAATAGGGCGCGAACCTTTGATTAAAAGTATCTTCGAGTATAAATGAAACCCGAAACGAGCCAGCTTGGAAACGAAACGAAGTTGAAATTTCGACGCAAAGCGTGCACGGATATCGCGTCTACGAAGCTCATCTATCACGGACGGGCGACAGCCGTATCGGGGGTCCGCGTATTAACATCGTTTACAATTAACCGGCCGGTATCGGTCGCGGTACTCGTTCCACGCGTAAATCCCGACATTTCATCGAAATGTCATCGAATACGACTGACGTTGACATCCGACATCGTAACCTCGTAACGAGGGGACCAAGCGCGGTTCTACGTCGCATCCAGTATCGAATATCGTCCAATGATTTCTCTTAACCGTATACCTTTTCGATGCGCGTTCTTCTTCTTACGATCTCTCAGGAAGATTTAAAAACCGAGACGCGAAAAGAAGCGCGGCGGCAAATTGGATTTACGAATCCTTTTACTTGGGTAAAACCAAGCTCGGACGTCGTCGTTTATCGTCACGGATAGAGACGTTCGCCATTACCATCCTCTCCTCTCGTCCATTTCCCGGTGCGTGCAACGGGGGCGGGTGTAAATATAAATTCCATAAGAGAGAAAGGGAAAAAAGGAAAGGAGGATCACTCCGAGACGATGCCGAGACAGAGAGAGAGAGAGAGTGGTGGCCGAAAACCCACCCTTCCCAGGCGGAGAATTTTTATATCCGATCCCAGAGGAGACGGTCGTCGCGATCCCCACGAAATTACAAAGGACCCGAAACATCCTCGAGGCGAGGTTCGTGCCGCTGATACACGCCCCGATAAGCCTATCCTCCGAATTTTTCGAAACCCCGCGCCAGCCAACGGCGACAATGATCTCGAGAAATTTCCCCGAGGAGCGTAGATTAGAAGAGAATACCTCCCTCCCTCCCTCCCTCCGCGTCCAATCTTTTCGAATCTTCGATCGGCGCGGCGGAAAATGAAACGAATACCATCGCGTGTTTATCCCCCCCCTCCCTTTCCTTCTTTCTTCCCTTCTTTTTATCCGTTAAAAAAAAACCGTTTCCTTTCGTTCTCGCGAACTCGAAACAATATCGGGAACAATATCTCGTCGAAAAACCGTTTACGAAGGGTTACGTATATAAGAGATCTTTGCCCCTTATATTCGTGAAAGAGGAAAGGCTGCTATCGACGGACAACGTTGTTGCGCGAATTTTTACCTCTCGCGTTTCCTCCCCCGTCCTCTCTCGATTCTGAATAACAATAACCTCGGTGAATTTGACTGCGAATCCAGCGTGGGGGGGGGGGGGGGTACCGTCGAAAGAGGAAAGGAAGCAAAACGGGGCGCTAGACTATGGGCGACGTAATAGGTAGTAACAGGTAGGGTATGCCCGCCAGGGAAAGAGCTCAGGGCCGTAATATATATCGCGCGGTAATGGTCCCCAGGGTGACAGCCCTCTCCCCCTCTAAAATACGAGCATCCCATTTTCCGGAACGCGCCAAATGATAATTCCCACGCGAATTAAACCGCGAGACACCGTCGCAATCTGGACATCTTCCAGAATCTTGTCGCGTAGCGATCGGCAACGACGATCCAACACGGGTACGATCCGCATCGTTCGTTCAGCTTTCGCCACGCGACGTCGATTATGGATCGCGCGATGGATATTTTGTTTCGCAGCAATTTTAATCCGTGTTTTCGAGGCGGAAAGAAACGGAGAGGAAGGCAGCCTGCCTATCCTATCTAACCTACGAATCGTGCAACTGCGATACTCGTTGTTAAACATTTCGTAAACCGCTAACGGTTCACCGTTAGCCCATCCACAAATATTCCAACCAACGAAGAGAAAATTTGAACGGGGAATCGGAGGTTCTCCGAACGAATATATACGCGCGATGGAAAAAGAAGGAGAAAAGGGTACGCCGTAGCGGGGTATAAATCAAAGATAAACTAAGCGAGCGTTCTCTCCGATACGATCTGGGAGAGAAGAGAGAGAGAGAGAAAGAGAGAGAGGGAGGGATAGAAAAATGGAAGAAAAATATCGAGGCACGAATGTGTTTGTTGGAATCCAGCGTGCTCCGATGGGTCATAAAGCGTTACCCAACCGTGCCACGATTTTCCCATCGCGCGATAAGTGTAAAGCGTAAAAGCGACGATGAGAGTCGGTCGGAAGTCGATTTCGTGCGCCTTCTCCCGCGGTTGGGAGTCGTCGGAGGTGAATATACGTGGAATACGGCTCGAGTGGCACAGCTTCCACGAACCGGATCCACATATGGCGCGATTCCATCTCTCTCCCTCTTCCGCTGCTATTTATCGACGATTCTTGCGGCGAGCATTCCGCGCGGGAGCAAAATGCGAATTATACGCGAGCAAGAAGTAGCGTTTCGCCATCTGCGCGGCGGGGGGATAAAACGGGTGGCGCGATTCGGGGAGCACGTTGAAACGAGAGAAGGGAAACGCGCGCGATTGGAACCCAAATCACGGCCGAGCGCGAAGTATCATCGCGTGGAACCAGAGTCGATAATTACTCGCAAGTTTTCGAACCCGGCCAAGATAAATAAGCGAGACTTCGATTCGAAGGGATATCTTTTGCGTTGTCTGGTTAAAAAGAAAAGAAGAGGAAAAAGAAGAAGAAGAAGAAGAAGACACCTCTCTACGCAAACCTCGTCTCGGTGGAAAGAGACAAGCGGCCGAGTGTCAAGTTAAGCGACAAAGATCAAGAATTGCAAGAAGAAAAGTTCGAAGATAAAGTTCGAAGGATGACCTGGATCTGGATAATACGCACGGTGCCAACGCATCTAGTGGATCGTCGAGATTCGAGGAGGGATTCTTGGCTCGTTCCTCCTTCAAAGGGACGCGCGCGGTCGATGCGTGCAACGATTATTACGCGCGCACTGAATTCCCCTCCCACGACGGGATCGAAGCATCGTCGAGGAATCTCGACGGGGAGTAGAGGGGGATTGGTCCTCGTACGCAAACGCACAAGTGCGACTTATGCCATATTCTCCTCTCCCCTTTTCCCAACGTTCTCTCCTCGCCCTCTTCGCACTCCTCTTCCTCCCTCTCCACTCACCCTCCCCTCTTTCCCCTCCTCCCGTCGCGCCGCTCTGTTTTCTCAATGAAAACGGCGTCGGACCAGCTGTGTCGCGATCTTCTATTTTCGGAACGCGTCCGTGGTTCGTGGCGGGTTCTTCGGAAACGGGTCGTAAAACGGTCGGGTTGTGTCGGTTCATCGACGACGCGTACCGATTACTCGCTCTCCCGAGCCGGAACCATCGAAACGAGATCGGGATCGATTTTTGCCAGAGAGGAAATACCGTTGGAAAAAATGAAAATAACGGATCGTTGGAACGGAGCCAAGGTTGTAACTCGAACGGATTATTCGTTAACGCCTTCAATTTCAAGGTCCCTCGAAGAAAGCGAAACACGGAGGAAGATCGATGAGAGGGAGGAGAGAGAGAGGAAATTCGATGAAAAAGCGAGCCAGAGGCAAAAATAAATACTCGATACGTCATCTCGGTAAAGCGTGCGCTCGCGGACACTTGTACAAACAGCACGGGCGCGCGATTCTATTTTTTTTTTTTATCTTTTATAATAGTTAAATCCACCTTACGTCATCGACCGATGAAACGAAAAACAGGGAAAGCGATAAACCGATCGCTCGATAGACAACGCCTACCGGACAACGTCACTTTACCACACGTTTTTTCTTTTCTTTTTTTCCTTTTTTCCTTCCTTTTCTCACCGACTCGAGTATAAGCGAGTATATTGCTCATCTTCGATGACTTTTTATCGAGCGGAACAAATCTCGGACGATCGACCGACTTTTCAGAGGCGGTGTTCCACGGATATGGGAAAAAGAACGACGCCGTAAAACTGATAAACCATGATAACCATCACGCTTTCTCTCTCTCTCTC